ATAAACAAAATAAAAAAACTCAGCCAAATGCAATTGCTGCTCATATGAATCTCTCTAAATAAGAATTTTTGGGTCACAGCCTGCTTCGAACGTCTTTTCGCCATTTGCCTGTTATTTTATGGGCTTTGTTTGCAACCTTGTTTGGAGTGAGATGAAAAGGCTTTAAGACATTTATTTGTGTTTGCAGTACTGAGAAATAAAAGGACTTTTAGAGAAATTTTTTTTCAAGCAGCTAAGTGAAATAAAAGTTATGGCTACTTAAATAAGGATAGATTGCAAAACTTTTCAAAAAATTTGCTTTGATTTTCCAGGAAGGGAAAATCTTAAAAACTTCGTAATTATTTTAAGCTTTATATGGTGTTTTAAAGTTTTTAAAATGTAAACTTATTTCAAGTGCATATATGATTAGTGTCGTAGTTTTTTATGCTCGTGTCCACATAAACCTTTTGCTGCTCCTCCATACTTCGGCTGGCTACTAATTTTAATCATTTTCGGACACTCATGCCTACACACAACACATAAATACTTACATATGTATATACATACATATTAGGGTGCATCACTTCTTAAAAAAAAAAATAACTCGCCACTGTTTTTCCATCGGAAATATAAAAAATATCATATTTTAAGACTTTCGCCAAAATATTTCGGAAAATTATTAAGATTTACGTGAGCTGGACCTATATGGAAATACGTACTCCCAAAAATAATTTTTTTTCTTATAAATAAAACTAGTTTTTAAAAATATTTTTTCAAAAAAATTAGCTCAGATGATAAAAAAGTTTAATCTCAAATGGTCTGCAAAAATAGAAAATTACAAATATTAGCAACGCAATTAAAATAATGAAAATTTTCGCGGTGTGCATTCTCAAATCAGCTGGACCGATACGTAAATTTGAAAATCATTTTGTTTTTTTGTTAATGCATTCTCATCAGTGTTCTCGTTTTTCCTCGAATTTTTAAAATATACTTTTATTTTTAGCTTAGTATAAATTGTGATACATTTTAATTCACAATTTGAGGATAACTCTTCCCAACTTATGAGTTTGTTTCCTTTCATTGAACATACCACCTTTAATCTGCATATGGCATCACTGTTGGCTACAGACAACTAGCCTGTTCCCGTACTCCAGGATTTAGTCCGAAGTAGCCCGAAGTCGTTTCCTTTCACACATTTATCATATATTCTGCGAACGATTTCTCACTAAATCATGGAATGCGGGAACAGGCTAATATTGTCGTTCCTTTCCTTTTTGAAGCTGTCGGTTGCGGTACTGGGCTAAAGGCAGTGTCACACGATTGGTACATTTGTACAAATTTGTACATTTTGGCAGTCACAGAGTGGTGTTCTTTAGAAATTTGAGTTCAGCTCAATAAAAGAATTTCCAAACAACACTACTCTGTAACTTCCAAAATGTACAAATGTACTAATCGTGTAACACTGCCTTAAGAATTTCATCTAGAGTAATCCAGTAAGTATTGTAAAAATTACTTTTATGTGTTTACAGTGTTAAACATCAATTTGATATGTGATTTTAGTTAAGTATGCAATGGATTTCAACTGTTACCGAGTATAAAAGCTTTATTTTCACTCTTTATTTTATATAAAAACCAAAAAATATTAATAAAAACTGTCAACGATCTCAATTAAAGATTCAAACTACCATTTTAATTTAAGAATTAGAAGTTTATTGAAAATTGATAGTTTGATACTTAAATTTTTTTTCATGATACTTTTGATCTGGTTTAGGGGATTTTGGTGATACATTTCTTCTGAACGCCGCGGCAACACTGATCCTAATATATTTGTACGAGTATACATACGGTCATATGTGATTGCATTCATACCCTGCAAAAAATTGTGCGACTAATCTCTAAAGAGAGTATTCCGAGATTACTCTCAATCGGGTACAATTGGGCATTAATTAGTCCCAACTAGTCTCATACGGGTACTAATGGAGGTCAATTAGTCACGACTAATCCCTTATGGGTATAATTGGAGATCAATTATACCCCCACTCATCTCTAATGGGTACTATTAACGATTTAATGATATGTACGCACTTAGTCAATGAAACTTCATGTGCGGCATTGGCACACAGAGAGAGTATTCGCCTAACAAAACTGAGCACCCCGGTTCGAATCTCAGCTGGCGCAAATTTTTATTTTTATTTTTTAAAAGGGACTAGTCGCTTTTTATACCCGTTCGGGTATAAAGGTGAACAATTAGTCTCTTCATAGGACATGCTCGAACAAAAGCGATCAGTTCATTCCATATAAAGAGATCAAAAGTGGTATTAGTCGCATGCTCCTTTGCGATTGCTCCCAGAGTCATCCCGGATTAGTCCCATTTTTTGCAGGGTATGTACATACATACATGCATATACGTATGCACTAATACACATATTTGTAAATAATCTAGCGTGCGGTGGCATGCCACACGCTTGTGAGATTTCAAGTGCGTGCTCACCCCTTTGCATATCTGCGTGCACAAATGAAGCTCGTTAATTATGGATGCAAGGCGCATACATTTGACACATTCATACATACACTCCAGTGATCGGACTTAAATTAAATTAAATTAAATTAAATTTTGTGGTAGAATCGGGAAAAAATGTGGTAGATTTCAAAAAAAATGTGGTGGATCTCAGGTTTTGGATCGAACTTTGTACAAAAATTAATCTAAAAAAAAATAATTTTAGTATAATAAAGTGCAAGATTGAAGTAGCTAAAAATTGCGTTGAGTTTTAGCAATTTTTTTCCTTAACAGTGTAAAGCAGTTCCTTCCATATCAAGGTATTTTTCGAACATATTTTGAAAGATTTCTGCAACCTTGCGGAGTACTGTCAGGTTTTACTTTTTATCACATCACGATTTAGCGAATAAATGTGGCACGTTCCAGAAACCGCTACTTGGGATTTGCCTATTTTGACAATTCTCAAGTAAAAGTAAACAAACTCTAGATGCACATTTAACATTTTCGCTATTAATTATTTTTAATAAAACCACGATTCCTGTCGAAAAATGAATATTGAGAAAGTTTACTATTTTACGGTTTATTTTATCCTCCCATTATGCCTGTTGTTAGTGTTCACAAGTGTTGGACAATTTTTGCTCTTAAAATTAAGAAAATGTCGAGCAAAAATAAAACTACTCAAAAACGCGAATATGTGGTAGATTTCAGACCTTGTGTGGTAGATGTGGTAGATGCTCAAAAAATTGACAGATCTAACACAATGTGGTAGAAGTCCGATCACTGATACACACTTATACATATGTGTATGTTTTTAATCTCACTTTGCTCTTGTGTGTGTGTGTGTACGTTAGATGTTTGCACTTCATATGAACAATTGCGATGTCGTTCGACATTAATCAAATTAAATGAGTGACAGAAAACAGCTACTGACTTAGGTGACTGTGAGCTTTACTCATATCAAGACACGGCTTCCTTATTGGTGGATTCACTGCTGCCGTTATTATCATTTGAAGTGCCTTGCGTCGCGTGTGGGAAGCGATATTTGGTCAAGGTGGTTTTGGGTGGTAGGTAGCGGTTTGTTAGTTTACTTAGACCGCTCCATTTATATTTGACACCACCAAAAAAAAGAGCTCTCGTAAAGGCTTATATAAAATATTTAAAATATGTAAATAAATCAACGGCGCCTTGCTTAAATTTATAGCCAAAATCGCGCGGTAAACTACTTCTTTCGTTTTTAAATTATTTCGAAATGAAAGCGTTTGGTGTCAAGAATATCGGGCGAGCGGTAATGTAACAGGATACCACGACTCAATGATAACCATTTAGTATACCAAGTTTGATGCTGAATAATCCCTTACCCGACTGATCTGCTGTTTGCCTGTGTCAGGTCACTATCCAGGGACTGTTCGAAGATGGGCCTTAATTCGGCTTGCTCAGCGGATTTTGCTTTCATCACTGAATTGAAAACTTAGATCTAATCTAAAACGTCCTTGGTGGTTGGTTGGTTGCAGTGCTTCATAGCAACTTACTTCGATACAATTAGCGCATTGAATACCTATATACATACATATATCTAGCTTTCTCGGTCAATCCATCTGGATACCTTGATGAATTTGCTGATATCATCTACGAGTGAACACTTTCTTCGCTACCTTCTAGTTAACAGCAGCGGCAAGTTCTATTATATGGGCGTGCCATTTAGGCCAGAGTTCCTTGGCCGTTTTGCACTTCTGGAAAAGCACGAATTTGGTCTCCGGTAATGCTACTATTAACAACGCCGCTTGGTTCTCAGAATAAATTGTTGCTTTATTTATTCTACCAATATTTTTTTCTAGAACTTAACAAGCTTCAAAGACTTCAGCTTTCAAGATGCTCGCATCATTCCCTAGACGGTGAGACAAGCTGACACCGAGGTGAGTTGGTGAGTGGTGAATTGGTGAGTTTTTCATACTCCTAACTCTCCTGATGTGCTGAGATATAAAAGCAATTACAGAAAAGGCTCTCTTTAGGATTTTTACAAATTCCTTTTATGAAATAAATTGGGCAGTTGAGATCTTTGCTGCCTACTTTACTACTTTGGACGTTAAACAGTAGCTTGCTTTAAATTCTGAAAGACATTACCTGTAGTAAGGGACAAATATCGACCGTCTCCACCTAGCTTATGTAGAAAATATAATTCGGAGCTTAGAACCTCCCTCCCTCCCTCTTCATCTGCTACCAACAGCGGGTAACGAACTGAATACATACTTACAGAGCTGGAGCGTCGGAGTCCATTCGAACTCCAATGGCCAAGCCAGCAGAGCCGCTGCATTTTAATTCGCTAAACTTATCGGTCGATTACGGATGGCAACCGCTTTTTTCCCTTTAATTTTTTCCCGAACGAAGTTTGTTTGTTTGTACTGTAAATCTATACTTAAATTACACTTGGTCGTTAGTTCGTTTGCAAATTATTCTTAAACGTAACTTTTGTAGAATGATGCTATCATTTTTTTTCGCTTCTTAAGAGACTAGCGACGATACATACCCTTGGGTTGCTTTCCCTCCATTTCCACATTGTGCTTTGCAGAGGAATGCTTTTGAAATATTTCGTCATCATCAGGACTATCGTCGTTGCCATCATTTTTACCGGCGGCAGCTGAAACGATACCCACTGCTTCGAGGTTGGAAAAAGAAGTTGAAGAACTTTCTGTTTTCTCGCTGCTCTTTTCGAAATGAGAGTGGGGATTCGCGGCGCGAATATTCAGTTTATCCAAAGAAGACTCGTCCGGCGGTGTGGGAATTGACTTTTCTATTTCAGGCTCGATTTGTGAGAGTTTTTCCTGAATTATCTCAATTTGTGTTGATTCCTCGTGTGAATTTTCCTCTTTCTTAGCGTATGCTTTTTCTTCACTAACTGCTTTTTCGCTTCTGCTTGCTTTCTCCTCCAATGTGTCTGCATTCGCTTGCTCATCTTGCACTTCCACTGGTATTTGAGTGATGGACTTTGCTGCGTTCAGCTGTAAATAACTTTGCAAGCGCTGCACCAACACATCCTTTTTGCCAACGGGACTCAAACCATGCGCGCGTAGTTCAGCGCGCAACTGTGAAATTTTCAATTGTGTAAGATCGCCGCCCTCTTCAGCGAAAGAAGCATATCGTAGCGAGTATGAGTAGGTATGTAATGCGCATGGATGGTTGTGTGGTTTCATTATGCAAAAGTGTAATTGAAAATATATATGTAAAAGAAACGAAAATTAAAATGATTAACGCTTTAGTGATGGGCAATGACAGCGAGATGGGCTGTGAACAGCTGGGGTAGCTGGGGCTGCAGCTAAATCATCGTACCTTTTGAGCGATTTTCATCTGCTTTAAGCAATTGATTTGTATTTAAATTATGCGCTTGCATGCTTTTCGATAAAAGGCTGCTCTCTTTGGCGGTCGGGCCCGCATTTTCATTAACTGTTTTAGTTTTGCCTTTGAATGGAGTCAAAAAAGAAGAAAAAGAAAGAAAAAAGAGAAAACAAATTTTCAAAGTAGTGGGGAAATTAAAAGAAAAATGTAACTAAGTATATTAAAGGGGTGCGAAATAGCAAGTCTACGCTGTACAATTATTGATGTGCAGGAGTTTTTTTTCGTTTATTGGGAAGGAGTGCAAATTAAATGGGTGACACCAAAGCCAGAAGCTTATTAGCGGGGATTGGAAAATTAAGCGCTGTTGATAGGAATTGAATGAAATTAATGAAATTAGGTAGTTGAAATGCTTTAAACTTAGAAATAAATGTTAACGAGATAGATTGAATGCGTAGTGCGTTGGGTTTATACAAAATTGTAAACAAATAAGAGTGCAAATTTTAGGGAGCCATAAATTAGGGTTAATCTAAAGCCTACATTTAAAAATTAATTTGTTATAAGCAAACATAGAAATATGCAAATACTAATATAATATACTGAGCAGACAAATACAAGCAGTTTTGCAATAATTTGTTAACAAAAAGAAATGATTAGACACGGCATTTCTTATGATGGCTAAGCGGCGGTTAGGCCTCGCTTTAGACTCGCCTGAATGCGAGCACTTTAAAATGCGACAGATGATTCCTAGCAATGCTGTTACCTACTACATTCGACGGTTAGCGCAGCGGCAGTTTTAACTAAATGATTGCAGTTCGAAAATGCTTTTAGATGTATATACATTAGGCTGATCCTTAAAAAATCAAATTAAGGATTTTTTTCAGTCTCATCCCCTCAATCGGTCACAGATATCACATATAAATTTTTGTCCGGATTGCAGTCGGTTAAGACGTTTTCATAGGGTAATCTGAACTTTAGCTCTTTGGGACCAAAATTTATATGTGATATCTTCGACTTTGGTAGTATCGATTTTGGGTATTAGATGAGAAAAAAATAATAATTTTAATTTTTCGGGTCCCCATAGAGGAATTTGAACTTTGCCCCCTGTGCGACACGCCTTAACCGTATCCAATCGGGACCAAAATTTATATGTGATATCTTCGACTATAGTAGCATTGACGGAGGGGTTGATGCTTTGGAAATCTTTTGTAAAAATTTGCATCCTACATTTAAGGATCACCCTAATATATGTATATACATATATATAACACACTATTCTAGAAAAATGTGTATTTTAGTGCAATTCCACAATATTCGATCAAAACACTTAAGAGCAAAATAATTACGAATTCCCACGACCTTCATGCAAGAGTATTGAGGAGAATTTATTGATACCACCACTTAACTGCATTTTTGCATAACGAGACTAGCAAATTAATCTAGTAAGCCCTTCCGATTTTAATTGTTTAGAAACTGATTTACAAAATACCATTTCCAGACTTTCTGCTTTCAGAGTACCTTCGGTTTTTGTGATCCTCAGGTTAACTTTCAAGGTAAAGGCAGTCAGTTAGGTATGTCAGCAGAGTATGTGCACTGAGTAGGGACACGATTTACGATACGATACCGTAACGAAACTTTTGCAATTCGATGCCGATAGTTTTCATTCGATAGTTTTAAAAACGATATTATTTGGAATATCGAGTATTTTTCTTCAGATATTAATGGTTATCCGATATTTTTACAGCGATTTTTTTAATGAGTACAACATCGATAATTTCATTTCGATATCGTGTCCCTAGCACTGAGATCTTGGGACTATTATGCCCTCAGATTACATTAGAAGGGCTCGTCCAGGCCTAAAGATTTAGTAAAACCCAGTAGTTTCAAGAGCGTTATACAGTTCATGAACGCAGCCATAGCTCCTCCAAGTTTATGATGCTCTGGATTTTCTGCTGCCATATTGCAGTAGCAACAGGAGTCGTTTAAGCAAATTCCCAAATGAAAGTAGTACGATTCCTGCAAACTTTGCTTCCAGAGTATTCCTAATAGTAGAGAAATCTTAAAGATTTCACAAAAAAAAAAAAAATAATTTTACACCTTTTCGATTTGTTGCCAAATTTCGTAAGATTAAATGTACTGCATGTTCGAAATTTCGAAAATATAACTGCGAATTTTTTCATATTATTTCAGAATTTTCTTTAAGAAATCGTAGAGAAATTTTTTCTCTTTCTGAAGAAATCGTTACACAATTCGGAAAAAAATTCCGATACTCTTAAAAATTTAGTTAAGATTTCGGGAAGTTTAGTTTACAAGAATTTTACGATCAAAAATATATATTTATTAAACTTCTATAACGTTCGATATGATCCAAACAAAAACATGTATGTAAATTAGAAAAAGGTTGGCCATGTCGTATGAGCAACTTTCCTTAAGTGAACACCATGGCGTATGATCAACATTTACTACTCTGGGCTTCGGGACAAAAATACAGAAAATCCGAGTGCTTACGTGAAAATGTGAAAAAGTGCATTAATATAAACTTTTCATGAGCATAGATAAAGTACTATTTCTAGTAATTTCTCATTGAATACTTACATTTTTTAATTAAATAGGTCAAGCTTTAAGGGAAAATAAAAAAGTTGAATAGTTTGCACAAGTAAGACTTTTTGTGTGCAACAAATCGACGCGAGGGCTCTGTGCTGTTTGACTAAGAAAAAATTGGTACAAAAGTGGTATGGTGAAATTATAAGAAATTGATTGTAAAACGGATACAACACCGAGCACTTTAAAATAAAGAAAATGCTTAATTAAATTTGTTTTTGTTCATTTTTCATTTTCACTTTTATTCAGCAACGTTCTACACAACTTAATTAATTATTTGTACGAGTGTGACGCGCTGATTTCTCAACAACATTCAAAATAGGTTCAGGACAGAGTCACAGCCTGTGCTATGGCGGCACAATGGGCAATGGCTATTTTCGAACGTCGCAAACGCGCAAGGACAAGCGGTGAGTAGTTTGACTCTTAATTAATTGTGTGTAAGAATATTAAATTATGGTAGTATACTCTGTAGCATTTACGTAAGTTATGATTGGAGTATAGTTATTTGCGCTATAAATTATTTTACATTCATTTATAAGTATGTATGCTTATCAACAAGTTTTATCGAAAAGCACCTAAGATCCTTACGAAATAAGTTTTTAGTTCAATAACTTAATTCTTTAGAATATGTGAGAGTAATGCCTTTAAATTTCTCTCGCGTTAAATAAAACTACAACATTTTTCAAAAGCAAAATTTTCTGCATGTTCAAGTCACTTTATTGAATTTATTGAAATTCACACAAGAAGTTCATGTAAGTAAAGTGAACTTGTGCATTTTTTTTTACCGAGTTGACATGTGTTAAATGGCTGGTAGGATTGTGTGTATGTGTGTATGTGAAATGATGGCGCAAAGCGAAATTCTGTGACACAACTGACAGATACATAAGTAGGTGCAGTTTTTCGTACGTACTGAAAATTTGGCCAGAAAAGGGAAAATCATGCATACAGCTATGGTCAAAGATTAAGCAACAATATATAGTAATTTTAATTTAAATTATGTAAAGCTTAGTTTAAACGCTTGCACAAATGTCACAAAAATTAATCCGACAAAAAAAAATTTCAAACTTTTTAATCAGAAAATTTCCGGTATGCAGTTTTGTAGCACATTACGTATGCACAAATCGATCTGTATACATTAGGATGGTCCAAAAACAGTAGAGTCGGAATTATAAAGCTCTCACCCCCAAGGATTGTTGTATATCGAAAAAGTATACGCCTATTTTCTTATTTTGAAATAAAAAAATATTTAGTGTACACCGTAAAGGCTGCGAGATTTCACTCCTCTGTTACTTATGTATAAGTGGAAAAACGGGTGACCATGGCGTATGAGCAATTTTCACAAACGCTACACCACGGCGTATGATTAACATTTGCTGCTCTAAACTGCTGCCAGAAAATCCACTTAATGGATAACATGCATAGAAGGTAAGCTTGTGCTCCGACTCGAATTTCAGTACAAATTTTTGAGCTTGAGCAAAAGCTGAGTCTAAGTTAAGTTCTCTGCAAGAAGCTCAATATTTGTAGTTTTAGTTAGAAACAAATTCATAGCACGCAAAAGTCATATAAGAATACAAATGCAAGTATATTGCACTATACATATGTATGTACTTATTTACGTATGCTAGTCTGGTTTTTTAACCCGCACGTTCAAATCACATAAATATTTAGGATATTTGTTCTACTGCAAACTGGCTGGCATTCGCATATAAATTTGGCTTCTAAGTAAGTTACTTAAGAAATCGACATTTATATCTGTTGAATCTAACATTTATATGCGTCTTCAATATGTATATGTATGTATGGGGTGACAAGCGTAAGCACTTTGAATTTTGCTTTCAGCACAAATAGGGTAAGTTTGGCTTTATTTTATTCGCCCCTTTGTGTGAATTTTCAAACTGCAGTAAAACAGATTGTGATGGTAATATTTAGTTGCAATTGACATAATTGCTTCTTAGTGTCATTTGTGTTCTTTAATGCTCAGTTGGAGTGGGTTGTAAAGTTAACTATTTAAATGCGCGTGAATGACAATCATTTGTTTAGGGCAGTCAGAGAAACATCCATTGCATATATGTACAGTGAAACCTCCCTTGGGCGGACACTCACCGTCAGTCATTTTTTGTCCGCCCAAGAGAGGTGTCCGCTTAATGGAGGGGAAGCCTATTTTAGAACTTTTTAATGTTTTAATTAATTGAATAGTCACTATTTCTTATTTGAATAAAAGATATTGATATTACATCGTTCAAACAAAAATGTGCATGTATTTTTTCAAAAGTGCACATTTCATTTATGTGCGTAAGTACATATTNGTTAGACTGCATCAACAAAAAAAAAATTGCGGTTTTTTCCGCCGGGATAACAAAATTTATTTCGGAAAAATATTAAGATTTGCAAGAGCTGGACCGTATTGTCATTTGAGGGGATTAAAAAAAAATCTTTAAGAAACTTTTTTTATTCATAAAAAGCTCAATTTTTGGAGGTATTTTCAAATCGGTCCAGCTCACGTAAATCTTAACATTTTTCCGAAA